TAGCCGTTGTTCAAGAATTCAAGACTGTAGCACTTTACTCTGTTTGTCTTCTAGTGCTTGTTTAGGAATTCTGGACAGGTTCTTCAATTTTTGGAGATTCAGACTTTGTCTTCGAGTCATTTGTTCTTGAATCAGCATAATTATCTTCAATCTAGCCGTTGAAAATCAAGAGATTGATTTTTCCTTACTAACGGGTAGAATTTCTTCATTCAAGACTTAGATAATTTTCTAAGTCTTTTCTCACTTGTCCGTTTTATGAGAATTCCGGTCTTCCTTGAGGCATCCGGTTCTTCGCTGACAAATCCGGAGAAGTCATTCTAAGACTTCCGGGTGAGAGAGAGATCCGCGCTAGTCTTCCGATTTGGGTGACTTAGCCTTCAGCGGGTTGTAGCGAGACATCCGGTTCTTATGTAGTCTTCCGGAACAGAGGATTTTCATCTGCTTGAGAAATCCTTACTTGTCTCTAGCTTTTCCGATTAAGATATCCAATTTCCATATCACTGAATTTGATTAAGTCTTCAGGCATCAAAATGCTTAAAGAAATATCACAACCTTATTGGAAAACTCAAGAACTTGGTTTTAACAATATTTCTAAAAAGAAAAATTACATTGAATATTGGGGAAGACCTAAAGTCCCTATTACATTCTAAATACATCATCATCAAAATCTATGATATTTTTCCCAACAAAAACTAAGGTAAACTAGGCTGCACACTTTTTCAAATCCATTTCGAAACATCTAGGAAAGCACAATCAGAAGTATCTCTGTCAAGGTCTGTATATTGGACATATTTTTGAATCTATGGGTGCTGCAGTTAAAGGGAAAAAGTATGAAGCCAGATACTGGCTATACTACTTATCCTCCAAAGGAGAAAATAGAGCTAGTGCTAGTGCCACTGCAGAAGAAAGCTCATCAGACAATGTTCCACTCATCAATTTCGCAAAGACTGCCAAGAGAAAGCATGTGGTGTCTCCCTCTCCAAGTGTTGAAACACCACAGAACCTTGCTTTGATCTGTTTGGAAGAGGAAGAAGAAGTCTCTGACCATGGAGAACTTCAAAGGAAGAAGTAGAGGAAGATCAACTCTCCATCAACATCTGGAAATGTCAATCCGGATGAGTTGAAGGAGAAGGAACCTGCTGAGGAAACCTCTACTCAAAACCGGAGCCCTCAACAACTTGAAGAAGAAATTCCTCAAGTCCAAAGCCTTCCAACCTCATCACCTCAACCTCAAATAGATGATGCAGATAACCAATTCTGGCAGCTCTACTATGATTGGAAAGCTTGGAAAGTTGGAAATTCAGTAGAGCAACTGTTGAATTGGGACCAACAACTGAAGAATGAGAAGATCATCAAGAAGTGCTTAGGAATAGCAGTCAACCACAACTGTGAACAAATTTTGGATGACTACTGGGTATGGCGAAGGAATCCTGAAAACTTGCATCTGGAATACCTGGCCAACACACCAGTTTCAGACTTTGAAGCAGATGATGAAGATCCTGCAGTCTTCAAGTCAGTCTTCTCAAAAGACACAGAAGATCAAGTGGTTTTCACTTCTGAAGCACAAGGTGTTTTGGAAGCAGCAGCTGAAGATTTCCAAACACTTCCGGAAACCTCAAATGTTTCTAAAATGGTTCTAACTGAAGTTGTAGAAGAGAAGGCAACCTCTCCCCCACAAGAACAGAACCAGGAAATAGCAGAAGAAGAAGAATTTCAGCAATTAATCCAAACTCAAGTTTTGGAGATTCTCACCACTCCTTGTGAGATCTCCAATCCTACTGAAATTGAGATCCCGGAGAAGTCAGCAGAAATTCCGGAACAGTCAGCTCTTCCAGAAACAATGGAGCAAGCTGTTGAAGCACAAAGAAATTCTCGAGAAAAGGAAACTCAAATGGCAGAACTAGAGGTCTCTCAAACTCCAGTAGCCATTTTTGAAGAACAGAATGCAGCTGAAGAAAGAGACTCCCTCTGTAGGGATATATCAAATTTTGCGCTTGATGAAGCAGAAGGAGAGTCTGAAAGAACACTGAAGGTTACTGATGAAGAAGATGTACAAGAAGATGCTGAATCTCTTCCTATGCAACTCTTCCAAAGAACACCATCCTCTCATCAGGTAACCAATTTTCATTTCCATAGCTCTTCCACCCCTACACTTCCGGATGAGATACCGGAAATCTGGACAAAGAAGGTCCAAGGGCTGATTGAA